AGAAACATGGGAATGAGTGGTCCCTGTCTGATATCACCATCCTTGTGGAACAGCCGATCGCTGGTGTGTTGCTTGAGGGATAGGTAAACTAAAGACGACTAGAACAAGAAACAAAACAGGTCCAACAGGTTCTAAGTGCTCATCAGAGTCGCATCTACATCAACGATTTGCCTTGATCGGCAGCCCGTCTCGCTGTCTGACACGTCCCAAGCTTGCTAGTTTGGGCTCCATCCGTCCACGCAATTAAAGTGGTCCAGGGGTTCGTCATCCTGCGGAGGCTCAGCTCTGTTTTCTTTTGCTCTTCCCTCTCACCAGTTTACAATTGCTGGAGAGAGAGAATTACGGCAGCACAAAAGTGGCCTAGTGTAGTTTTGTAACACTTTGCACTGCAGCACTTGGCACCGGATTATTCAATGCCCACGTTCCGAATTCTTCCCTTTGTCATACGTCTCTACTCTGTACTCCGTTCCTTACTGCGCATTTACGAATACAGCCAGCCCAGCTTCATGGGCATTTCGACGGGCCCCTGTACGGATATTCGTAGTCAGCTCAGCCCCACGGGACGTGCTTGGTAACAACCGGCTATCGAACTCGAGCTAGGCTGGCTGGGCTGGGTGAGGTGGTATTAATGATGGTGGCTGGTCATCTTTTCGGGCTTCGCCAGATGCCCACTTAGAAGTCGAGACCCGCTTCCCATTCCCCCCAATTCACACTAGCACCAGCCGATGAGGCGGAATGGAACCCTCTTTTCTGTGTGAGTGTCTCTCCCAGCTAATTTTAGAAACATCCTCCCGTCTCTTTTCTTCTTCCCTCCCACAATTCGTCCAACACCGCCCAACTGCCAAACCAACCGGGCCACCAACGTCCGGGTCAAACAACCACTTTCCGGTCGTCGGCGCCGAATCACGCATCGCGAGGCTCAGTTCCAATACGGGGCCCTCCCGAGGGCCTTGTGGCTCCAGGCTCTCTCTCAATTTTTTAAAGTTGCCGAGCTTTTTCTCGAACAACCTAACAAAGCGACCTTGAATCTACCGTCATTGGCTGGTCACGACCTCTCGACCCGTTACGAAGCCATCACCGCCACCATTGCCCAGCGCAAACTCCAGGAACAGGGCCCGAACCCGTAGATTAGCTCCCGTGCCGTCCTCGCCTACCTCGGCGAGAAAGCAAAGAAACATGAATCCACTCGACCACCTTATCAATATACATTATCAACCCTTTGATGCATGCTGCGCGGCGGTGACATCTAGCCTGCATCCGAAAGAGGGGCCGTTGATGGCTCTTCTTGACCAAAACCCAATTCTCTGGCCCCGCCAGCGATGTTGTAGTCTCTTTACCCGTTGTGGGCTCGCAGCACCTCTCAGCCTTGAGCTGATTTGACAGCTCCCGCAAAGTACGCAGTACATACGTACGACTCGGCCGCGAACACCATCGTGGCTCGGCTACACCAAGCTCTACCTTTGCATCTCGGCGTGGAGCTTGTGCTGGCTAGAGGCTAGAGCTCGAATTTTGGCTCATGGGGCTTGTGGAGAGACGAACTCTGGCCGCTGCAGCTTTGCGTTGGTTCGTCGCATTATCTGAATCTCGTCATCGTTGTTCCTACTGCCCTTGGCAAAGAGATATGCCCAATAGACCCATTCCTGCCCCGCATCGTGTAAGTTGTTCTGTTCTGCCATGTTTCTTTGGCGTTTTGTTTGCTTCCTTATTTGGCAGTACTTGGACTATTATTCGCATCTCAGGCCTTGGCTGCAACGCTGCCCGTCGAGGAGCGAACACCCAGATTCCCACTGGCATGCTGCATCGCGTACGGAGTACATCCCGGGAAACAGAAGTGCGATCAAACCTCGAATTTCTCCGTCCCCCACTCACCTCACGCCGCGACTGCAAGAGCCTCGAACGACGTTTTCGAAAAAGTTCAACTCGAGTCGAGATCCGTTTCAGCGGCGAGAGCGAGATTTCGAGAGACCCTGAATCCCAGGCGGGGACAAGCCCGGCAGGGGAGGGGCCTGCAATAGCGGTCCCCCAGATATAGGACCACCAACCACGCAACCTTCTTTTGGCCGACTTCCGAGGCCATCCTGATAAATAAGACAGCCACCGAGAATCAGAGCTGGTTTGACGGTTCGGGGGTCCATGTCCGGCGGGGCCAGACACCAATGCCCCTCCCTCCCGAAGGCGGCGATGCCGGCTTGACGCGCGGTGCACCGCGGCGGCATTACAAGACATCTCACCATCCGCATGAACTCGCGCTCGCGCGGCTGGCTTGGTGGCGTCTTCATACCTCGGAATGCCGACTTGGACGAATCCTACCGACTGACCGAGTTTTGCGCGCGGTTGAGCCCACCTACGGCTCGGTGAGGACTCGTATGTCTCTGCGTCTTCGGAGGGTCAAGAAGTCACCTGGCATTTCGATTCATCCCGTCTGGCTGCATGCGTGCGCCCTGGAAACGATACTCCTGATTTCGCGAATCACACTCCGTTCCTCAAGCTTCTATGAGACCTACCGCGCAAACCTGCAGCTGCATAACCTACCATGGGCCACACACACAACGTGGCTTGCCGTCTCAGCTACCTTTTCCAGATTCCTGTTTGCTGGATTTTCTGGCAACGTGGGAGCTAGAAAACCGCCCGCCATTTTTGAGGCCCTCCTCGGTCAACTTGGTCGCACGGCAGCCAGGTGCAGCACGTGCTCGCATGGACGCGGGGACAACGCACCGAAGGAATGTATCACACTTATTTTCTGGAATGGAATGTCAGCGAACACCTTTTCTCGATTCGCCCGTCCTTGTCCTTTTGGGCCGTTGATCGTGTGGGGGAGGAGGGTTGTCAGCCAGTGTCTGTTACACCGCTGCACCGGAGTCGGGAGATTGGAGGTTTGAGAGACAGTTGTCACTTTCCTGGATTCGAGAGCGGATGCAAGTGGTGATGCGACTCATCAAACAGATATGCACGCGGGCGTGTGGACGAAGGCGAACCATCAACGAATCCTCGGCTCATGATCAAACACGGAAACGATGTTTGAAAGCACTCGAACCGTTGAAAGGTAAAAAGGGTACCATACGGAGCACAAGTGTTGACAATGTGACCCAAAAGGCTACCTAGGTAATGATCGCACGATGGTCACTTCTCAACATCCTCCCGTGTCTTCCACCCCCTTCACACGCATCTTCCCCTTCGGCCTTCCTCCCCTCTCCTCCCCTCCCCTCTCGTCTCATCTCATCTTTGTCTTGTTCCCTTCCTCCCTCCCCTCTCCGCCGGGCTGCCACACCCAAACTCGAACACGCATACGTATAGCTGGGAAGTACCTAGCATTTGCTCCAAGGACGATAATGCAACACCAGAAGTTGAACACGCGTCGGGTGCGCTGTCAAAGGTTCTGTGCTCTTTGGCTAGAAGCAGCGCAGGAGAAGCGGGTAGTTTTACACGGAATAATTGGTGGCAGAAAAGGCCTGCTAAGATACGTTAGCACGTTGGACAGGAACCACTCTGTCGTCACCGGAGAAAGGCGGTCCAAATCTGACCGAGCGGGAGCGGGACGGTGGAGGAGAGGGGAAGGGGAGAATGGGTGGCAAGAATCAAGAGGTAAGTAGCTTCTCCTCACTCCAGTAGTCCAGTAGGAGAGAATACCAGCCGTTGTTGGTGCCATGATGATGGTGGTGGTGGTGCGGCGGAGGAGGTCCAGGCCCCCGGGCTATCTGCGGGCGGAGAACTTATTCCCCCTAGTCCATTTTCTCCTCTTGCGAGCAGGACGAGCTGCAACAGTCACCACTGCGCTTGCATGTTGGAATGGACCATGGATAGATGGTGATCCAATTCTGGGGCCTGACCACTCGGCTTGTCTTGCGCTGAGCCTCAACGGACCGTGGTCTGACTGGCTGCCAAGCTTGAAATGGGGAAGAACGAGCAGCAATAAAGAGAGAGCAATGAGAGGCTCGACTCTGTATAAGGTAGGCACAGGTGCCGATAGAGTGACCGCATCGTCCACAAAGTCAATGTGTGTAAATGTGGTGCGATTTCTCCTCTTCGTTATGTGTAGTGTAGGATGAAACTTGGCTTCAGTCTTGGGAATACCCCGTCTGGGTGAACGTGTGCTTACTGACCTGTCTGCCAACTTGAATGTACTCTTGCCATGTACCTTATGAAGAAGTATCGTGCCGGGACTCTCACTTTTCTTCGTCTCAACCTTGTCTCTGCAACATCGACACAGGGGTTGGAGCTCGAAAGAAAGAAAAGGATCAATCACCCAAGCGCTTTTACAGTTTGTGTGGCTACGGATACTTTCATCCCAGCATAAATCATCTGGCTCATCTGGCTGGGCCATGTTGGATTGTTCAACTCAATTCCGCCTCCAGAAGGCAAATCAAGGTCCGGTTCCCATCTCTCGTGAGGGTCAATCAAGGTTATCAGAGATAAGCACCCAACAGACAACACCTTCTGCCCAATATGTCCCACACATTCGGCCTCCTCCCTTGTCTACCCTAGATTAATTCCATTGCCCAAAAGCAGGGCAGTATAAGGGAAGCTGAACAAGCGTGACAGGGCAGAGCAAGGTAACAGATTTATTTACGAGCTGTGCAGCACAGAGTGTCACAGGCAAGCTGGAGGTCAGGCCAGCCCAGCCCAGTTTAGCCCGTGGGTTTCAGACACCATCGACAGGGAAAATACCTTAGTACAGAAAGAAAAAAAAGGGTGACCCAACTCCATCTTTGGATCCTTGGCAGCGCACCATAGCACCACAGCACCCGGCCGCTAACCAAGAACTTGGGACCTTGATCTTGGGACTCTTGGGTGCCACTGGTGCTTGGGGGCAACGAGCAACCGGGCACACAGCTGGAATTCCTGGAATTGGGTTGAACCGGGGACTGGACTGGACTGGGCTTGTCCCCTTTTTGAGGAGAATCTGATGGATGGTACTAACTTTCTCACCACCACCCACCTCACCTAATCTGGCTCACTCCAGTTCACCACTCAAACCGCCTTCACGCCACACACACACACACACACACACACATACGAACAAATACAACAAGCCCATCTTCCCAGACCACCAGACCACGCCTTCTTGCACAATACACCGGCTGCTGTCCCGATAACTTTGTGCATTGCGTGCGCCTCAAACAACCTTGGCCCACTCAGTAATTGACAACTGCTCTGTACGGATATCCTTCCATGGTTCTCCAATTTATCTGTCCACCTGTCTTACCTGAGCAACAACAACACGCGCACGCTGCTGCACGTACACAAAGGAACCCCCCTCGCCGTCTTTGCCGCTGCCAATTGCTGTTCTTCCGCCTCTTTCCATCTTCCATTGCCAATTAATTACTCAACCTTACCGACCACCCGCCACTGCTATTCTACCTTGCTCTTGCAGACTACCACTACTAAAATACTACCACCACCACCTTACCACCACCGCTTGGTACACACATCAACTCGCTGGCTCCATCCGTCATAGGCCCCCCCGCATTCCATTGAACCTGCGACTACTTTAGCACACCTCAGGTATCTGTAGCCTTTCCACAGAAGGTGCCTATTAGTCTCTCTATCCATCGAGGTACGGAGCCCAAATCTAATACCCACCCGCTCTGTCCCCCATGCCTGTCGCCTAAGGTAAAGCAATCCCGCCCGTCCTGCATTCATCCGTCCCTCCTTGTACCTTCTCCTCCCGTACATACTCACCAACAACACCTCGGATTCTTTCGCCTTATCTCCAGACTCCAGCCCACACGATCTGAACAAGGCTGACCAAAAACTCCTCCTACGCAGTCGTCGACAAATGCCTCCATAGCTTCATTCCATCCGCGCCTGCCGACTTCATTCGAGTCTTGTCTTCTTCTCGTTTCTTTGACCCGACACAACCGCCGCCCGCGAGCCACGTATACGTCACTCGCCCGTTTCCTCGCTTACATACGACCCTCCACCTCTTCTTCCTCCTGCCCATCTCCAGCGATCGATCAAAGGCAATCGCCTTAACGCGCCCAAAACGGACAACTCAAGTGGACGCCGCTCTCCCTCCCGCATCCGCTTCCTGTCCATCCTCGATCGTCTATTCCATCCTCCCTAGGACCCCCTACTGCGACACAACATTACATTTTCCCATCTCGAGCCCCTGCCAGATTCGGGCTGTTGCGGCGAGACGTGTAGGCCAGCCACACATCAGACGAAGACGAGGCCAGCCCACGCGCACAACCCGACATACGACACCTACAACAATAATCGTCGTCGTTCCTTCTGCATCGGCATACGAGCTACATCATGGGAAACCAGCCATCCAAGGAGGGTGGTCACGCTTCCACCAAAGGCCCTGGTGGCGACGGCACCGCTGAACCCCTCAAGTCCTACCCTTCCTTTGGCAGATCTGACACCAAGGACTCCTCCCGCTCCTTCAAGGCCCTGAGGTCCAAGATCCCCGGCTCGAGCAAGACGGACAGCCCAAGGAACTCAGTCATCACCTCCCCTACCGAAGAAAAATCCGACGCTGCTTCGGTCAAGTCGGGGAAAAGCGCAAAGTCCGGTGTCCCCCGAAGCCGCAATGACTCCGCCACCTCGCCGACGTCCCCCTCGACTGACATTGAATCCCCGCTCGATGACTCTCAGCCGCCGCCATCCCCGACCCAGTCCAGCACCATCAAGAGCGGCGTTCACGACGTGAGCGCAGCGCAAGCATCAGGAGAGGTCGACCACGTCTCCGACCAACCCCCTTGTGCCGGAGGCAGTCTCAATACCCATATGCAGCAGCCCGGCAAGTCCATCCTGGCCACCAAGAACGCGGATGGCGCTGCAACCCCGGTCGCCAAAACCTCGTCGACGAACTCGGGAGATAGACATGAGGGAGGTGTTGCCATGAGCGAGATCAAGGACATCGATCTCGACGACTTCATCAAGCGTCTTCTGGATGCGGGCTACGCTGGCAAGGTCACAAAGAGCGTATGCTTGAAGAACGCCGAGATCGTCGCGATCTGCCAACGAGCTCGCGAAGTGTTCCTCTCTCAACCCGCCCTTCTGGAGCTTGACGCCCCGGTCAAGATTGTCGGTGACGTACACGGCCAATACACAGACCTGCTTCGCATGTTTGAGATGTGTGGCTTCCCGCCCTCATCTAACTACCTCTGCCTGGGTGACTACGTCGACCGTGGTAAGCAGTCTCTCGAGACAATCCTGCTGCTTCTGTGCTACAAGCTCAAGTTCCCCGAGAACTTCTTCTTGCTGAGAGGAAACCATGAGTGCGCCAATGTTACGAGAGTGTACGGTTTCTACGACGAGTGCAAGCGCCGCTGCAATGTCAAGATCTGGAAGACCTTCATTGACTGCTTCAACACCCTCCCGATTGCTGCCATTGTCGCTGGCAAGATTTTCTGTGTGCACGGAGGTCTCTCCCCCGCACTCAGCCACATGGACGACATTCGCAACATTGCTCGGCCCACCGATGTTCCCGACTACGGCCTGCTGAACGACCTGTTGTGGTCTGATCCGGCCGACATGGAGCAAGACTGGGAGGCCAATGAGAGAGGCGTGAGCTATTGTTTCGGCAAAAGAGTGATATTGGATTTCCTTGCGACTCACGACTTTGACTTGATTTGTCGAGCGCACATGGTGGTTGAGGACGGCTACGAATTCTTCAACGATAGAGTCCTTGTAACGGTCTTCAGCGCCCCCAACGTAAGTCTTTACCAATCGTTCTGGACGAGCTCTGCTAACATGTGGTCATAGTACTGTGGCGAGTTCGACAACTGGGGTGCCGTCATGTCCGTATCGAATGAATTGCTTTGCAGCTTCGAGCTGCTTAAGCCGCTAGACTCGAGTGCGCTGAAGAGTCACATTAAGAAGGGCAGAAACAAGAGGCAGAGCATGCTCAACAGTCCGGTGAGTAGACATTGGAGAAACTTGGAACGTAAAGACTACGCAGTCACTAACATTGGTACAGCCTGCACATGTCGAGCCACGAAGCGTTTGATGAGGAGGTACGCCGGGGAGACGTGGGACAGCAAAGAATCTCCATTCATTGATGGATTATTATGAGTTACAATCAGTCGGGCAACCGGGCAGAACATTTCAGATCAGAACACAATAGGCGAAGCATGCGGTTCCGGCGGCATCACCAATACCCTCGGCAGGTGGAATTCCCCGAAGGACATGAGCGCCTACTCGAGTCCGGTCATAACACGGACAATGCCTGCGAAAGGCGTAATAGCCGAGTCGAGTGATGGCCAGGTTGGGATACTTGGCAGGGTCAAACTCTAGCAGGTGGCCGTTCGTTATTCGATCTCTAGACACGGCTCGGGCAAGAGCAGGAAGCAGCTGGGAATCTTGCGGATTTCCTTGACACGATAGGACGAGAGGGCATGCATCGGTTGCGGCCCTTGGGAACTAGTGGATGATGGTTGAGGAGAACTCTCAATTACCAGCCTGTCTCGGACAGTTGCACCGCGAGCTAGAGATACAGCGTACATCCAGTCCATTTCCGAATGTTCGTCGATGAAGGCATCGACTAGCGGGGTCTATCATGGTTATACAGTAAGGTAGTTAGGGTGTGGGAACTAGGATTCGATTTTGTATGCTTGGTCCTTTGATTGCTTGAGGAGTTCTTGCCGTGACATTCTTTCTCCAATAGTGTCAAGACCTACCAATATGTGCTAAATGATGAATGAGCTTTAGCTGAATAGCGTGCGGCGAGCTGACGTTGAATGCAAGGCACCTGAGTGTAACGGAGTGCCGCGCTTGCATCGGGCGGGATGTGCCCCTCCATGAAGTTGCCCCACTTAACGTTCTGAGCTCAGCCTGTGACATCAACTTTTCCCTTCAAGCCGTAACCTCGAGAAGGACGAACTGCAATACAGACGAACATTCTCCATTGCCAATTGCTCAGTGGAGCGATTTGAATCAGTCAGAAGCGAATCTCGCATACTGAATTGACCCTCCTGCCTCCTACTGTGGCTAGTTACGACTTTCTCCAGCTCAAGTCCAAAGCGGAAAGTAGGTAGAAAAATTTACCTCTACTGCCCTTTTTCATCCTCTCTCTCTCTCTTACTCTCTCTTTCTCTCACAACCTCAGTCGGGACTTCTTGACCTTGAACTGACCCACACCTCCTTCCCAACCACATCCTTGGCTCGTCCTCTATCTGACTTTCTCTTTCAGGAATTCGACGCCTTCTCTGTCTGTATAGCACCCAAGGAAAAGAAACTTGAGGGGCAAAAATGGAGAACCAAGCGCCCCAGATCGACGAGTCTGAGCAACGCGCAGCGAAGCGTCTTAAGGTGGACGATTCCACGCCGCAGCAGACTGAGGAAGTCGCGAAGCCCGCTGAGGCTCAGGCTGCTGAGGAACGCGTTGCTGTCGATGAGGCTACGAAGCGCGTGGAGCCTGTCCCTGCCGCTGGCAACGGTGAGAAGGCTGATGTCCCGATGAGCGAGGCACCTGCTGTCGAAAAGCCGGCCGAGGGGGGTCCTGCACAGCCAAAGCAAGATGCCAGAGACGTGAGAAAGGGCCAGGCCCCAATCAAGGCCGAGTTTGTATCCCTCAGAATGTTTTACAGACTCACGAGATTGACATGTGAAATAGGTTTCTCATTCACAGGGAGGGTCAAGTGAAGGAGCAAGACGAGGTCGTCGACGATGACGCTGCCGAGGGTCGTGACCAGGGCGGCGATGCTCGCGATAGCCGCGATGCCCGTGACAGTCGTGATGGCCGTGACAAGCGCGACAAGAAGAAGCGTGAAAAGGGCCAGAACAAGGAGCGCACCTTTGGTCACTTTGACGATAATCTCCGCCTCTGCAACACGCGCGCCTACGCCCCCGAGTTCTCCCCGCGTGAGTGCAAGTTTGGAGAAAGATGCAACATGCTTCACGACCTGCGCAAGTATCTCAAGGAGGGCCGCCGCGAGGACCTCGAGACTTTCGAGGGCAAGTGCCCCGTTTTCGAGCAGTTTGGTGTCTGCTCTTCGGGCTGGAAGTGCCGCTTCGTCAAGAGTCACATGAAGGAGGTTGACCACGAGGACGGCCGCAAGGAGCTCGTCCTTGTTGAGGAGCCCAAGGAGGCCACGAAGACGAGTGGCGAAGCGCCCGCCGAGACTGGTCGCGAAGATCTCCGTCCCGGCGTCTACAACAACACCGAGAACCAGCTCAAGATTGACCTCAGCCGCAAGCGCATCGACTTCACGGAGACCGACAAGTACATCTCCTGGATGAACAAGGAGGCGAAGCTGGGCGATGCCTTCCACCAGCGCCGCAAGGACCAAGTGATTAGCACCCAGGAGGACCTGCGCGCGCAGTTTGTCGACCCGCCCCTGAAGCCGTCCGAGAAGCGCAAGCTGTACTTTGGCAAGGAGACGCCCGCTCTGGCGCCCCTGACCACCCAGGGCAACCTGCCCTTCCGCCGTCTCTGCGTCGAGCTCGGCGCGCAGCTCACCTACTCCGAGATGGCCCTGGGTATGCCCTTGGTTCAAGGTGTCAAGAACGACTGGGCGCTGATGAAGGCCCACGAATCCGAGATCAGCCCGCCCCGTGTCAACCCGGACAGCAACATCGTCCAGGGCTATGACAACTCGCGCGATCTCAAGTTTGGAGCCCAGATCTCCGGCAGCCAGGCCTGGCACTGCGTAAAGTCGGCCGATCTTCTTAACCGCTACGTGCCCCACCTACGCCTCATCGACCTCAACTGCGGCTGCCCCATCGACATGGTCTTTAAGTCGGGCGGCGGCTCCGCGCTGCTCGAGGCCCACGGCAAGCTGGAGCGCATGGTTCGCGGCATGAACACCGTGTCTGGCGAAATCCCCATCACCGTCAAGCTCCGCACCGGCGTCAGGCAGAACCGCCCGACGGCGACGACCATCCTCGGCAAGCTCGCCTTTGGCTCCCGCGAGAACCGCGACCGGCTCGGCGCCCCCGGCTGCGCGGCCATCACCCTCCACGGCCGCAGCAGGGAGCAGCGGTACACCAAGAAGGCCGACTGGGGCTACATTGCCGAGTGCGCCGCCATGATCAAGGCCTACAACGAGCAAAAGGACGACATCACCGACACGGTCCGCGAGGCGGACGAGTCCACCCTCCCCAACGCCAAGGACGGCCGCATGTTCTTCCTCGGCAACGGCGACTGCTACTCCCACGTCGAGTACTTTGAGCACGTCGAAAAGGCAAAGGTCGACACCCTCATGATTGGTCGCGGCGCCCTCGTCAAACCCTGGCTCTTTGAGGAGATTGAAAAGGGCCAGTACCTCGACAAGTCTGCCACGGAGCGCCTGGCGTACGTCGAGAAGTTTTGCCGCTTTGGCATGGAGGCCTGGGGCACCGACGAGCTGGGCATCGGCTTCACGCGCCGCTTCCTGCTCGAGTGGCTCAGCTTCTCGCACCGCTACGTGCCCCTCGGCCTGCTGGAGCACCTGCCGCCCGACCTCAACGATCGCCCGCCGGCGTACCGCGGTCGCGACGACCTGGAGACGCTGCTTGCTAGTAAGAACTACAAGGATTGGATCAAGATTAGGTACGTGTTGGTTGAATTTTCTTTGCACTTTTCTGCCTTGGTTGAGTGCTATGCGTACGAGATTGATTTTGCTAACTCATATTACAGCGAAATGTTCCTCGGTCCCGCTCACCCCAACTTTACGTTCCAGCCTAAGCACAAGTCTCACGCTTACGAGGCTGAGGGTTAGATGCTGGTTACATGGACAACATGAAGGAAGCATTGGAGCTGTATCTTTATCTGCAATGGGAGGCACGCGGGAAAAACCTGGAGGTGGAGGTATACCTTTCTTTCTGAGCTTCGTGTAGCGCAGAGATGCCGCGTTCAGATGTAGTTACATCCTCGACGTAACTCGAACTTTGAGGAAACATGAGATGCAGCTGGAAGCGTAACAGAGAAGAAGAAGAAGAAGAATCAAAAGTTTTTGTTGCAATCACTTGCGAGAGAGGAATGTTGTTGAGGATTCTGATATTCGATGGCATTGTGAACCTAGTGACGTCTCCCAATGATCCATTCAAACGAAGCGCGAAGCATATCTGGGAACTTGGTATCCCGTGGGTTCCCTTACAACAGCAGGTTGCTTCTTTGTTCCAATGTCCATCACAGTGAACGCAACAACAAGACCAGAATGTCATTCTCCCTCATTCCTGTCCTCTCATGTACTCATTGAAAACCCCGTTTGTCCTCTCCACACCAGCACAATCTTCCGCCTAGCTAGGACCTCAGCCAGAGCAAACAAACGATATGACGAAGCCCACTGCACCATCCTCTCACTCGAAAGACCTCCCTGCATGTCCCACCCCTTCAAATCTGTACGATATCCCGGAACTGACCTCGGTCGATAGGATGGCCAGCAAGGTGCTGCCGAGACAGATTCTAAACGGACGTAGCATTACCCTTAACGACGACCGAGATCTGGGATATGTGGGTGGTAGTAAAGACGACCGTGGTGTTCTCGTCGCTGTGGAGCGTGGTCGTGGACTGGGCAGTGACCTCGGGAAGGACGTGACCCTTCTCCTCCTCTTGATGAGGCACCTTCTCCGCAGGAGTAGGGACATTGCCAGTGACAGCGGTGACGGCGATGATAGCAGCTGTAGTAGAGTCACCGCCGGTGGTGGTGGTCGAGTTGATGGCTTGGATTTCGTTGTTCACCTTGGGAGTGTGGGCGAGTGCGACCATGACGAGGGCGCCGAAGACGGCGAGGGTGGCGCACATGAGGCCTAGGGTGAAGTTTTTGAAGCGGCCACTGTTTTGATTTTGTAAGTTAAAGGTTAGCTATTGTTCTTCTTTATTTATCGGGTCTGTAGATGTTTTGTTTTTTTCTGTGATGTGATATGACGTACGGGTGGTGAAGGCGGATGCGGCGAGGTCTGGCCTCTCTGGTCTCGGGGGCTTGAGTTTGCTCCATTGTGTGGTGTATGTTGTCGGCTTTGAGGGAGGAGAGGTTGTCGGTTTTATGTGTAAACTGGTATTTCTTTCTTCACGATGTTTGGGTGCTTAGTGAAGGAAAGGTTAAGTTGAGCTTTAGAAATCGAAGGAGGCGGCGGTGTGGGCACCGGACGATTTCTTGGTCCTTCGTGTGTAGTGTTTTTTCTGAGAAGGTATGAGGGTGGTGAGAAATATGAGGCAAGTTGGGAAGTTAGTGGTCGAGGGCCAGCTGGAATCTTGCCAGCTTGGGAAGGAGACAATATCAGCGTGCTGCCCCTTCTCATTACGTATCATACCTTCCGGCGGACGACCTATTGATCCTGCTTTCCTAATCCGAGGGATTCGGTACTCACGGTGTCTTCGCTACGAGTGCCTAGCTTCATTATCATATAATTCCTTGCCTTTGCTGCAGAGCTTCATGGGCATATTCTATCGTGAATACATGGCGATAGACTCACACTACCAAGGGCAATAGTAGAAGCGGCAGGCATAGAACTAATTCAAAGCTGTAGACCTTGACTCCATCAGCTCGGCTCAAACAATTGTATTTTCCTCTTCACATTGAGTGTCTGCCTTATGGAAAAGCTAAATCTATGCTGCGCCTTCTGCTTCAATGCAGAGGGAAGGCTTTCTGAACAACCTTTCTGGTTCGCAGATATCTATAAGTAAGTTGCTCCGCCTACTAACGTCGACACCTACCGCTTCGACTCTGCATCCAATTTCCAAGATGGCAAGCGACGCGCCTCCTAGGTTACCCTGCCCCCTATGTTTCATTCTAGGCCACTTGCAACGCCTCTTTCGAGCCACAAACATCCCCGTTGTTATCGACGAGGCTGAAGAGAACTTACATGATGATATTCACCAAGGGAGTAAGTCTCTGACAATTGAAGATGACGGCGAGCCTATCCCTGATCACCTTATAGATAGCGTCACTACCGATGAGGGGGATTATCTAGATCCAGGAAATGGTTTGGACGAAGCAGAGACCGTTTGCAACCTTACTGGAGTGCCGGATAACCCAACGAACTCCTCTCGGCGGCTGGTTGATGTCAGTATGCGCCCTTTGATTTCAGCTACATCTCGCAATCCAACTGCAAGAGAGATATTACGCTCAAACAGCACATCGGGTCCCTTCTGCAGACCTTGCACAGACAACAGGGATCACTCTAGCCAGAAGTATAGAGCGGCAGTCTCACCATTATACTGCTCAGGTTGCCGTCGAGATCATCCATCATCCCTCTTCTCGGCAACCCAACGACAAGAGGAGCCCAATAAACGGATCTGCATCGGTCGAGAGGGACATATCAGGCTCTGCGAGCACAGGACGTTTGGCTGGGACGAGTTCGTGCACACTTCTTCGACCACCAATGCGGATACGAGCATCACATGCAACCATCCAGATCACTTAGGAGCTTCAAAAAAGCCAGTCAGCCTCCGCGCACGGCTTGGGATGTCACCGCACACAGCCGTGATAGGGACACCCAGTGAAGTCAAGGCAACATTCGAGCATACCAATGGCTACGCTTCCTGGGCCAGTGAAATTGGTCTCGACAAGAGGGCCCACGTAAAGATTCCCGCATACAAGCTTAGAGCACAACCGGGATCCTTGTTACTTGCCAGCGATCTTCGGCAAGTCCTGGAGACGCAGCGGGGGCAGTCGCCATGCCTATGGTTCCCAGAGGAAGGCCCTCGTCAAATAGATGCCATGGCATGCTTCAAGCCATTCCGTTGCATCTGCGTAGTCGACGAGGACAAGAGGGAGAGAATCCAGCAGGAGTGCATTGCTGGCCCGTTCAATTGGAATCCGTCTGCAAACGAGTGTCCCCGTAAGTTTTCGCCCAATAGTTTCGAGACAGAGACCTGACTACAAGTACGAGTACTAATCGCACAGAGGCAGATTATCACAGGGAGTGCCGGTGGTCTAAAGACGGCACGGCATATATACACACTGAATTCTCGCGCTGTAGTAAACACGATGGCTGCGTCGTCTTGTCTCACAGGCGCTCGATACGGCGGCGCACGTCTACTACCCAGGCGTTGGAACCTTGCAACTCGCAATGGTACCAGGCTTTGGATCCCTCGTCTCACAATCTAGTCGACGACATCGAGTTCAAGAACGTGACGTGGTGCGAGGACGCGAGGTGTCGGAATTTCTACAGGTTTCGGGACCATGCCAGCGTGGGCACCTCGACAAGTTGAAGGAACTTGGTCCGTTGATGTTCAGGAGTATGTATGGAATACTCTACTTAGTAATACTCTAGTCATTCAAACGACTGAGGAATAGTGTAGGATAAGCCTCCCTACTCGTTCCGCCAAGTTTACATAGATAGCAAAGGCATAGTTAAAGTTGTTCCTCTCTCTAGCACTTGTCGTGTTGCCTACCTAGTGATATGTTTCGGATACAACATACGGTAAGACCGTCACTTGCTCACTCTTCTCATCTTATGAGCAAAGCACCTCGATCATTGTTTGGAACTGTCTTCCTCTAGATCTATATGACAACCCTTGATCCGCGAAGAAATCCTTCTAGAGGATCAAACGTCCCCTAATCCTCCTGTCACCTGAGACTAGGTACATGATACGGCGGAATCAGGCCGGGCACCCAGCGCCGTTGTAAGCAGTGCAAACGGCCCTGAACCTCTCGTTCGGCTGGTTGATGCCCTGGAACGTGTCCCTGCACTGCTGCTCGGTCCACTGGCTTGACGTCTTACACTGCCGGTCGTCGATTGTGGTTAGCATTGCGTTTTTCTAATAGCCGGAAATGGCAAGAACAATGTGTATGAAAGAAGATGGAAAGCAAGGTTTCACTTACGACATTGTAGTTACCGGCAGAGTTATGGCAGATGGTTCCGCCAACGGCATCACAGAGTCTGATGGCGGCAATGACTGCGTTGCCATTGTTGAGAATTTGGCAGTGGCAGGAGAACTGGCTTGCTGCGAGTGGCACCCTGGTGTTTTCCCATCGTTAGCTTTCATCATTTCATTATCAATTCTGTGCGAAAACATTCTTTCCGCAGGGGAGATGTTAATACCAAGCTGCGATGGAAATGAGGCTGACGACGTTGAACTTCATGTTGATTGTGAGGAAAAGTTGGAATTTGGATGATTCTAGTTAGACGTTTGAGGAAACGAGATTAACTGAACAAGTGAGAATGATGTCTATGAGATGACTATTCTTCCAGGAACCGGGCATCGTCAGTCATCTTATACAAGTCATCAACTAGAGCATCTCTTCACCAAGTTCTCCTCTTTGCATCAACTTCCCACCTCTCATTCAGGCATAATGGACCACAAACCTTCCAAGACTCCAAGATGCATGAATTCGTTGGCCAAATTCCTTGGCCTCGTAACTCCGTCCGTCCGTTAACACAGGGCCGCAAAATGGAGCGGCCGCTTCAAGCCCTTCAACACCAGCAACATGATTCACGATACTTTTACGCGCCAAGCCTCATCCCACGCGAACCCGAAATCCACTCTACACAATTCTTATCTTTTCGTAGAACTCTAGAGATTGATAGAGCCAGAAGCGGATACCAACTTTCCCAAAACTCCCAGTATCCCCATTGATCTGCATAGACTGGGGTCCTACAAGAGGCCATGATCAACCGTGGCGCAATCAGAGTCAGCAAAACTTACCTGTGAGCCTTCTTCTTGTTAATTAATTATAGTATCAGACTAGTTGACAGCTCCTCGAGTCTCCCCTAGTCTTTCGCATTTAATCGCAACTCATAACCTTAACCAGACCCGAGTTGTCAACTGTTTCTTGTGGATGGTAACTCGGCCGAGACCCCCATCGCCAAGAGCGTACTAAGGATCAACCGAACGACAACTTCAGAGTTGGACCAGGAACCTGTGTCAGGCACATTCGACAAACATCAATATCGAGTCGGACTCTACGGAAAGTTTATGACCAGTCAAAGGTTCTCTAGATTGGACTACACGAGCGATTACCGAATGAGGAAAGTTCCAGCCTCCCACGGGTCTCTATAGCACGGGTTCAAGCAATATACCCGAGGTGTTTCAACTTTTCACCGCCGTACCGCCGTGCCGTGAAGGCCTCATGAGCCCATGATGTTGATTGCCAAGCAAACCTGGAAAGCCTCACCTCTTCATGCTTCATCTCCTCATGCTTCCAACTCTCCCACTAGCAGCCGGCCGTCCGAACACGAGTTCGCGAGCCTGTTCGTCGGATCACCGCCAAATTGCCAAGTCCTCATTATTGAAGTTACGCATACGAGGCTTCATCGGTAAAGCAGTTGAAGGAATCCAGATTCTGAACAGAAATGGAACCTACCTCTGACTTTCAAGATGTATTAATACAAGAGATGTTCATCACTTTGGAACACAACTCTTCACCAAGACACCTCCCATCATCCAGTCCACTTCTCCCACCAAGTCCCAAGCCATCCATCCGCTGCTCTACTCCTCCTCTTCTTAGAACCTTCAAGAAATCCTCAAATCTACACAATGCAGTTCAACATCAACACCGTGGCCCTCCTCGCCGCCGCCCTCCTCCCCCTTGCATCCGCCGTCCCCTCGGACGCCAACGCCGTCGAGGCCACCCTGGCAAAGAGACAGAGGCAGTACCAGTGCGAGACCTCGAACAACCTCGGCGCCTGCAACAACGCCATTGCCAAACTGAGAGGTCACGAGGCCAGAGGCTGCGACGTCTGGTGTAAGTCTCCCTTTCCCATCCATCTTCCCCTCCCCCTCCCCTCCACCACCTTTAGGAAATAGGACATGGCTGACAAAAAGGGGTGGTGGAATAGCATGCATCGGTGCCTTTGCGGCCCTGATCCCGGCTTGTGGAGCTGCTGTTGATGAGTTCTTCTTGAGTAAGTCACACTCACGTGTGGAAGTAGTACATGGGAATTATGGCTGACTTTGATGTAGACCCCCTCGCTGATGTCGCTTGCATCGGAGCCGTGGCCAACTTCCAGGGCCCTTGCAAGGGCTGTGAGCCTTTCTAGATGGAGTGAGGGTTTCCAGACAGCCAGGCATTTCATCGCTAGTTATGTACTCCCAACGGATGTTTCCTGGGGAAGGAACACGACCCTCCTGGCAGTCATCGCAATAAGGGGCTGTCGTGGCTGAGAGAGAGCGGGACTTGTATAAGGATGTAGGAGGGAGGCATCATACACATCTTGGGGTCATAGACGCAAGGCTGCGAGGGTTTCGAAGATCCCGGGATGCGTTGTCCCTTGTTGTGAGCACATTCTTAGTGGCCCAAATGACCGATGGCATTACTTTTTCCCGTTCTAGGTGCAATTTGATGATTCGTCCAATATTACCATTCTGTAGCTTCCCGTGGTAATTGTCGTTGATACTCCTGTGAATAAATTCAGGATGACCGCGGTTACCCAGTACGAGAGAGTGCTTTGGCTGATTGGGACGTACTAGAGCAGTAAAATCGACAGGTGAACTCGTTGCATTAATCCTGTGCGTGAATCTTCTTCCTGACCGGTGCATGCCTCCGAGATCGAGGTGCCAGCTGCTTGAACCACCGTATGAAATGGAAGGCGGGTCGAGTTTTATACATCATCCAGGCCCAGCAGCTGGGACAATTTCGTTGTATTTCTGCTCGACCGACCGACATAACGAGGCGTCTCGGAGCAGCAATCACTTTGAGAACACGAGTGTGGAACGAATAGTGTCAAAAGGAGAAGCTTTACTAGAGCTATAGCTTAACGCCGTCCAGACTTCCTCCGTACGCCTCTATACCAGTGAAACGGGCCAATGACCCGGAGCTATTCTGTCGCTCGCCCACTACCCCTTTTTATGCCGCACTCGGGCGGCGCTCTCGTTCATGTAAGAACACTTCATTGAATCGAATATCCGTATCCATAGTGCTGAATTACTGCGCCTTCTTGTCACCCTTGGGCTGGGTGGAGGCGTACTGGTCAGAGAGCTCATCGTAGCTCTTGTGCAGACCGGCGCTCTGCTTCTTGAGGGTCTCGAGATCGCGGTTCTTCTCCTCAAGCTGCTTGCGGAGCTTGGCGATTTCACCGGCGTCACCGGCAACGGCGAGCTTCTCGCTCTCCTTGGTGTTGCCCTTGGTGCCCTCGTAGCCGCGAACCTTGTCCTCCAGACGCATCACCTCAAGGATCATAACGTAGGTGCGGTTGAGGATAAGGGAGAGGAAGAGGGTGAAGCCGCAAAGGTACATGTTGCGCTGGGAGTAGAACTTGCGGGCTTGCACCTCAAGGCGCTCGTGGCCCATGACGGCGGCACTGTACGACAACTTTGTTAGCATTGTGTACACTAGGGGGTTTGTAGAGTTTGATTGCGGTGTTCAATCAAGGGAGCGTCTTAGGAACGCCGGAAAGAGGGGCACAGGAGACGTACCCGCTGTTCTGGTTCTCAGTCGCAATCGCCAACTCGACTTGGACGCGGTAAACGCGGTTGACACTGTCAATGAACAGAATCAGGATGAAGACGAATGTAATCTTCATCCAATACTGCACTTTTGCAACGATTGGACTCTCGGAGATGAATCTGTGAATAGGTGTGCGTTAGTTATCGATTCGGAATGCTTAATGTAGGGTCCGCAGTAGAGAAGCGGTCGACGGAGGGAGCAACGTACGTGAACAACTTCCGCTTGACGGCGAAGGGAAGGGGCACGAGAAGGAGCATGAAAAGCCCCATCTCCGCCATGAGGAGCATGAACACCTGTGACGCACAAAGTCAGCAAACGTAGTCAACGGCTCGGCAAGCTATCCATTCCGCCAATGGCAAATAGGATAGCAGCTTGACGTCGGGTGCAGTAGACGTACGAGAGTGTAGTAGAGAGTCATCTTGACTGGTGCGGGGAAAGCTTCAGCTCCCGGGATAGCTAACTAGAAAAAAGGGATTGTGGTCGTGTGCTCTCCGTAGATTCAGGGAGAGATGTGTCGTGCGAAGGAATACACTCGGAAGCCCAAACTGACTTCTTCGGTTGTGTTGTTGTTGGGTGTCGTTCTTGGCGAGGAGGAGATTTTGGTGTCTGGAGCTGTGATTTGTAGGAGTACAGTTGACGGGCTGGGCGGAGCTGGCCTTTTGTAGGATGGGCGTGAGGGTGACGATGGGGTCCGGTAATTCTGGCAAGTAAAGGTGGCAGGTACGTGAATACAAGTATCCTCTTTGACGACTGCCTGAGCACCTGAAGGTAAGGTAGGTACTGCGTAAGGTATGGAACTCAATGAGAGGAACCCTTACGTAGCCGGGACGGGAGAGGGACCTTGGCGGGAGAACAGGGCTGGGAGCAGCTAGCAAGTGCAGCTAGCAGTGTGCCAGAGCAGCCATAAAAAAGACGTAAGTCAACAACGTCATCGGTGGCTCGTGCACGCTCCCTCCCAGGGTTTGCGGAGGGAGCCACTGGGGGAGCTCAGGCACGCAGCTTTTCTAAGGTCTTCTTCAGTGGTGTGCTGCGGCTTGCGGGCTTTCAGCTAAGCCCGTCGAGTGGCCTTTGTGTCCGCAAAAGTGTTCAGTGACGGCTGCATCGGCAGCTGTCACCAGATGGGAGCATACCTGGCATCCAATACTTACGAGTCTGGAGTATGACTGGCTTCTGACGCTTGTCATCCCATGTGACGTCAATCGTGGAATCGTCCAGACATGGAATGATAGCAGTGCCAAAGCGGATAGGTATTCTGACGACCTAACCCGGTCCAGAACCCGCTCAAGGCCTCGCAGGTAGGTAGTCTACCTTAGAGCCGTAAAGATGCTAGTTTAGTCACATGTCTTGTCTCGTCGCGTTAATCCTTCACATTTCTTCTTCTCTCAATATGCACAGCAACAGAGATGATTTGATAATTGATAGTTGATGGTCAAGAATCCTGTCGCTTACACTACCGCTACTCATGGCTTTGAACTGCGTAATCACACATCAAATTGAGGCCAAGATAACCAAGCGGCCACTCCATCCGCTCCCACTACCAAGGGACGCGATCATGAACCTGAACGCCCAGCTTTTGAGTCCTAATCGGACTTACAAACATCCCAGATGGGAACTGAATCGTACAAAACCTACAAAGAAAAATCCGTCTCTCCACTTGCCGCATCACTCGTCACACCGCTTTATCGTTCCTGCCAGATAGGTCGCCCTTCGTGACGGGTTGTTTATATATAGTTTAGTTGTAGAACACGCTCTTCTGGAAGCTCTCGGGCGAAACGTCTCCGATCTTCGTCTTGATCTCCGGTCCCTTTTCGGGAGCGGCGCCGGTCAGCGAGTTGGTTCGGCTGCTGTCGCTGGGCGCACCCTTGATGGCAGCGAGAGGCTGACCAGGTCGCTTAATCACCTCGAGGTAGGTCGAGGGGAGGTAGCCGGTACGGCCATCGCGCGCGCGGCACCTCCACCACTCGCTAGGGTTACCGATAGGATCGCTCTTGGAGAGAACAGCGACGAGGTCGCCCTTGCGCACTTCCATGTCAACGTCCTTGACGGCGTTGCCAGCCTGAGGAGCGTAGTCGTACAGGAGACGGCAGTAATCAAGCTTGGACGGGTCCAAGGGCTGTTGCGCGCCGGCCAGAGCCATACGGCGACGTTCCTCCTCTTCCGCAGATGCTGCCATGGTGTTGATCATCTTGCGCATCAGGTACGGGAGACCGAAGGCGGCAAGGAGGAAGAAGAAGAGCGGCTTGCGGGAAGCCTTGGGGGGTCCCAGGGGAGCGCCGTCGGGGCCGATGGGCGACCGGCCTTCGAATTTGGCAAAGGCTGCTGGTGTGAGCGCGGTCGCGTCGGCTGGAGGCGGGCGGCCGGTGATTTTGGCGATGAGGGTTCGGATCCAACGCATCAAGGTGAAGATACCGAGTATCGAGCCCAAGGTATCCCTAAGATTGCTGAATTGCTCTGCTACTGACACCATTGCTGTGATATCTGTTAGTCATACTTCGCTTTCATGTGACGCAGTTGACATACCGAAGAAGCTTGAGTGTGTGGCCATGTATGTGCTCTCCAACATCTGGGCAAAGCCTCCAAAGGCACCAACGATGCCCTCCAGCATTTGGAATGTCGCTTGAGTACTGTTGTTGAATCTGTTGGTAAGACTGTTCGGGTCGTTGGGCCCTCCCATGCCTCCCATACCGCCCATGCCCATACCGCCGCCGTACATGCCTCCTCCGTACATGCCACCGCCGTAGCCACCGCCATACATGCCACCACCGTACATACCACCGCCGTAGCCGCCGTAGGAACCCATCCTTGAGTATGGGCTGCTGTAGGGAGAAGAGTAGGCACCGCCGCCGTATGAGCCGTAGGGACTGGCGGCCGCACCTAAGCCTGCTCTGCTATAAGCGGCAGCGTTTTGGTCAACCGCGGAGGCGAGAGAGGCAGGTCGTTCGGGAACGGCGGGCGGGGTACCACCGGAGAGGGATGTGGCCGGTGTCGGGGTCGCGATAGATGCGGCAGACATGGGTGTGACTAGAGTGGTCGTTAGCAAGATGAGTGAAATTGGCGACGGTCAAGGACCGTTTGTGGTGTTCAACGCACTTGAGGCAGCTGTTGTTGGAGCACCGGCCCGTTCCCAGGGCTTTGGAGGGGAAGCCATAATTACTTTTCCCGCGAGGAAGAAGTTTTCCTTGGATACTGTGTGGTGGTGGTCGCTGGCTCGGCGTTATCTCGCAATCCGCCTATCGGGAGCGCAGCCGGTGGCGATTTTCTCGAGTCGTGTTGGTTTGCCGGTTGCTGCACGCTGGGGCTCCGGATATGCGCGACGGAGGCTGGCGTTAACCGGCCAAGTCGTCGGGTTGAACTGACAATCAACCTCAAATGGGAGATGCAGTGAAAATGAGGATTCGAACGACGTTTTGCGACGTGTTGGAGAGAGGAGAGGGGAAGATAGAGTCGGGGATGGCCCACGGGTGAGAGAAAGCTGGAGGGTCGCTGGGATGGCGGAAACAAGTTGGGCTCGGAGCGCAATGCACCTGAGTAATGGGGACCGCGGCGGACGGGGACGCAGTCACAGTGCTGGGCAAGTGACCCCAGAGGCTCGTGCTTGGCGATTGGCAGTGAGGTGATGAGGAGAGGAAACTGGAGACTTTGGCCTTTGGGGGAGGCTCGGGAGAGTCAGCGGTTGGAGGCGCAGAATGTCAAAAAGATGGGGTCGGGTCCCGCTCCTCCTTTCTGCGTCCAGTGGCTTCCATTCTTGCCTCGGTATCTTTCACGTTAGTTCCGACGTGGGCGGCCCAGGCCTCGCAGCCTTTATGTTTTTCGCCGCTGCCGTGCCGCAGACACGTCCTTGGGCCGAGGCATCTTGCACCCTGGGGAAATTTGTCGTCCCTCCCGTCGCCATTTCGCATTAGCTTTACCGTTTCCAAGACCCTTGAATCTGGGGTTTCCCCGGTTGTTTGGGAACTTGACGCTTTGCTGGATTTGATGATCGACGATTCGTGCTGCAGAGTTGTTGCATTACATTACTAGCACTGACATGCCATCTCGCCGCGAGCCAAGTTGATCCGCGCTTCAATTTTTTCACCAGGATAATATGTTCGACACTTAATCCGACTTTCAAACACAGAAGCAATCGAAAACTACGAACTTGGATTCATACCTCGATTATTTTTACTCATTGCAAGCTAACAAGCCAATCTAACATAGTAGACCAGGACCTACGCCAGTCCAGAAAAGGCCTTGGCATTCTTCACATGCTCCTCCCACGTCGTCAACTTATCCTCGACAATCGCGTGCGACTCGTCCAGCTTCTCCCCACCATAGTACCCAAACTCGTCGAGCAGCCTCATGTTCTGCAACATCTCCTCAGCCACGAAATCCGGCATCCCCTGGCCCTTGAGCGCGCCCTTGAATTGCTCGTGCGTGAGCTCGTTGAACCGCGCCGTCTTGCCCGCCTCGGGGTACACCTTCTTGAACGTCTCGACCGCCTCGCCGCCCGTGACATAGCTCGTCGCCGCGTACACCCGCTTGCCGAGCACCTTTTCGCGGTGCAGCACGATGCCCTTTACAAACTTACCCGTGTCGGCCGCCGCGTCAAAAAGCGGGATGGGAGCGCTGGCGGGGACGGGGAGGCTGAGGCCCCAGGCATTGTCGGGGGGCGTCTGGCGGAACATGCCGCCGGGGAGGTTGGCCATGTAGAAGCCCGGGAGGAAGAAGGTTGCGGGGAGGGAGGTCGTGCGAATGTACTCTTCGACGGCGGCCTTGCTGTCAAAGTGGTACACGTCGGGGAGGGTGCCCTTGGATACTATTGTTGCGTGACATGTTAGCCTTCCCGGATCCTCGTTCGCAAACGTGACAGATGCATGTATCTTCTTGGGAGTGGGCAGGCGGGTTACGTACGCTTGTTGACGTCGAGGAGGGAACTGAAGATGAAATGCTCGACGCCAGCCTCCAGAGCCGCGTCGGCAATGTTCTTGCCCTGCTGGATCTCCAGCTCCTTGTCCATCTTGTCCCAGTAGTTGGTCACGGCGAAGACGGCCGAAGCGCCCTTGACAGCGGCAGCCAGCGAAGCCTTGTCACCGAGGTCGGCCTGTGATTTGAAGTTCACAGCACTCGTCAGCATGCCAATTCCAAGATCATCAAACCAAAGCTATGAAGTCGCTCGAGAGTGGATTAGTGACTTACAGCGACAACCTCGACGCCCTTGGCCGCGAGAGCCTTGGACGAGTCCTTGGTGGCATCGCGGGTGACGCCGCGGACCTGCCAGTCCTTGCTGAGCTTGGCGTCGTTGAGGAAGATGTTGACGACGCTGCCGCCCTGAGCGCCCGTGGCGCCGAAAACGGTGATGATCTTCTTGGACATTTTCGTGTGTGTTGGGTGGGTTTTCTGTTGTGGTGGTGATCTGTTTTATATAAGTGTCAGTTACGTAGTGTTCGTCTTTGAGCATCACACTTCAATGTCGGGGAAGTGTTCAACATTAAATACCTTAATCGTGCGATTGAATTGGAGTAATAAGAGTTGAAGTGCTGTTGAAATGGTAGCTTGATGATCTTCTCTAAGAATCAACGTCAATGAAGACAAGCGATCGTCCGGTCTTTATACACAATGGCGCTCATGAACCTCTCTGCCCGCCCCTCCCCCAAGACGCATATGTCTCAGGACATTGGACATGTACGTAGTGCTAGACACACCTCGACATAAGCTACTAGATTAGGTAAAGCTAGGGCGCGCGGGAGAACCCCTCATCATCATGCACCTCCGTCTCACCCACAGGATCGTCCCGTACTGAAGGGTACCGGTAAGGTCTCGCAAGGCTGGGAGACCTCGCGCCCGCGCGCATACCTGTTCGCGCTGAACCGTTGGGAGGATTCCTTTCCCCTCTCTACCTTACCTCACTATAATATCATGAGTATGTAAGCGGCGACTTGGTATGTACCTCATACTGTCGATCTACAATCTACAAAAGTCTATCGTACTGAAGCTCCGCGCGAAATCTGGCCTACCCAGATGGGGAAAATCCGTATAAGCTACCTTTTGGTTGGACAACTACAAATCAAAAAGCTGTACGTGTTCCCGCAAGCCGTGCCTGCTTACCATGTATTGACTTTGGTACCACAGACTAAGCGTAGCTCTAATCGATCTTCTACAGGCTACAGAGTTATGTGGTCTGTACGCGTATGGACAATGGATACTCTGTAGATGGTTGCTACCTATGCTGGCTCTGTACGGAGTATCAGTTGCAAGGTAGAGAGAGACATGGTGGGGAAAAGATCCCGGACCTCTCGCGCGGGAGCTTACAAAGCCTCGCGGTTCGCCGCGCCTATGAGAATTGCACCCCATCAAGGATCCGCGAGCTTCCACCCAGTACTTGTCATCCCTACCTTACCCCCAAACCGCGAAAGCGAAGTCGCGAGATGGGCCATAGGGCATAGCGCGCGCCTTGAATATTCCCAAGTTTATCGTTGTAATGCAAGATTTATCAGTCTTACGAGAACAAACTAGAAATTTTAGGAATCCACATTCGCCAAGAACAAGTTGAAAAATGGACAGCGCGAGTCGCGCGGCATGGCAACACTCTTTCCTGTACATTTGTCAGGCGCACGGAGGGTTAGCCGGTTCGGATGTCCGTTCGCTGGCCGCCCCGGGTTCCGGAGTTTCCTGCAACGATCGGGACCACACCCACGCATTTACCACTATAGGTATTCGGCAACGACTCTTCTTCTTGTTCAGAACTTCGGATGTATTTGCCTTCCTCGCTCTCGCGCCACAAAGACAAGTCAGTGACACGTTTAGACACACAATCGTCCACGTCTGTTCTTGCGAATGTCATCTGCCCTGCAACGGATAACTTTGTGGCTTGCGGCGCGAGTGAGCTGTCTTCAGCGGAATAAGCCACAGAGCTCGGACTTCTTGACAAGGCGCAGCTACCCGGGACTCAAGATGTGACATGTGACTTCCTTCGAGCAAGCCTCCGTGTTCTTTTGTGGGAAGTGGCTGGTCCAGTCATCAAAGAGTATATCACGAGTCACAATGAGCATGAGCATAGGTAGTCAAGCCACACTTGTTTTGTTTTGAAAAATTTGGTATCAATTGGTATCTCCTCCCTTTTGGAGAAGAATGCTCTCTGGCTAAACTGTCTTGCAAGAGAAAACCAATCCTCCTGCATCCTTTCCATAAAATCGTCAAAAAAGGGCGCACTTTTCCGGGGCCGGTGGGTATCTTCGTCTTAGACGCCGTCTAATGTCGTTTCGCAATCCCCTTGCCCCCAAAGGCGAAGGTAACTAGTACCCTCGCATATCGAAGAAGAGAAAAAAAGAAGTCTCAAGTCATTGGATGCCAAAGATCCAATGCAAAAAGAAAAGGTCTTGCTTGGGCTCAATCCAGCGAGAAGAAGAAAAAGTTATCGTCAAACCCCCAATCCCATATATGCAAATCATGTACTTGTTGAAATACCATCCAAGTAGAAATCAAACCCGCGGAAACACTCAAGACGACAAAGCGAACAAGGAGACCCTGTTGCTCTTGCCGCCGGTGCTGGCGGTCGAGACGGAGTCGGCAGAGAGCCAGCCCTCCACCTGAGAGCGGGTGATGCCAGAGCTCAAGTTGACACTAGAGTCCAGCATCTTGACTGAGACCTGGCCAGAGTCACCATCCAGGACAACAGCGACCTTGGCGGGGGCGCCAGTAGGACGGTCGAAGTAGTCGGATGAGCCGCCGGGGACGTTGGAGTGGATGGTTGACTTGCACTTGGTATCGCCAGTGGCGAGGACTTCGAGAACGTCGAGCTCACCACAAGCAGGCCAGCAGGAGCAAGTGCTGTACTGAGCAACGCGGGGGATGCGAGCGTTAAGGAACCAAAGGGCGGACATATCGGCGTTGAAGCCGGTGGTTCCGTCGAGAGGCATGCTCAGCTCAAAGAGCCACACTGAATCCTCACCCTTGAAGCCGTCTAAGATGTGTAAGCAGACAGAAAGGCAGAGGAAGATTCTATGAATTACTTACGGTATGCAACGGAGCCAGGGCGAGAGTATCCACAGCCACCATCATCGCATGACTTGTCGCTGGCGATCAGGAACTCCTGGTTGGACTTGAGGGTGATCGGCTTCAAGACCTCGGGTGAAGCGGCACCACCAGTACCCGCGGCATTCAGGTAGGACAAAGAGTTGCCAAAGACGCTGATCTCAGTCAGTACACTGTGACTCATGTATAAAGAATCATCTCAAAGTGACACTTACTTGTCAAACTTGCCAGACAGCTGGCCACCGTAGTTGCCAAGGAACACGATGCCGTCAGCAACACCCTGATCAGCATTGTAGTAGCCAACACGCTCGTAATCACCACTGACAGAGCCGGAGCCGGAGCCGGAGCCAGAGCTTGAAGCAGCCTTGGAGCTAGCAGGCTGAGGAACAGCAGCAGCGACAGGGGCCTGAGAAGGAGTGGGAGTTGGGCTGGGCGCAACGACAGGAGCGACAGCAGGGGTCGCAGCAGCAGCAGGGGGTGCCGCGGGGGTAGGGCCAAAGTAGTTGTTGATCCAGGATACGACCTTGCCGTCGATTTCCGCAACGACCCAGTCTTCGCCACGCTTTTCCTCCTTAAGCTCCTCTTTAGGAGACTCGACTGACTTCTTGTGGAGGTGGTGGTGACCATGGTGACCATGACGGCGGGCGTGGACGTGAGAAGCGGCAGGGGAGCGCTTGGCCTTGGAAGACAGGCTGTAGATAGCAACCTGCTTCAGCTGCATGGGACCACGGAAGACGGGCATAAGCTAGGATTTTGTGAGTATTTGTGCGAACGTGTAAGTGAATGATGCTGATAGAAAACAAAGCTTACCTCCTCGTTGAAAGGGGCCAGGGGGCCTGAGAAAGCAACGTCCTCAAAGGTGCAAGAACCATCATCACCCATGTGGTTGACAGCCTTGTAAGTGCCAGGGTGACCGACATTGGAATACAAGATCTGATCAACAGCACCGCAAAACCAGTTACCACCCTCTTCCTTGGCCGTGCCGGAGCACTGTTGAATGGCCTGGGTAACAGCGGCCGAAGCCAGCATGAGAACCGTGTAAGACTTCATGTTTGTTCTAGTGTCGTTCTCGAAAAGAATGATTGGAATGAATGTTCAGAAATTGAGCTTTGCTGGGAAATTGGAGTGAGTTCCTCTGGATATTTGACCGGCCTCGAAGGGAATTGTAAGTGGCTGGTAAAAGTGATGTAGGAATGTCCCAGTGGTGTATGGATAGGGCCCAGGTTGTTCTTTGACTCGACTTGCGAGGTGTGACTGGGTTTGTTAGGAATGTTGGCGTACTCAGTGAACCCTGTTCAACGGTGTGGCGTGTCTTGTCTCTGAATCAAGGACCAAGTGAGACCAAGGGTTGAGTGCGTGAATAAGGAATGTCTTGAGACAAGGAGTCTCTTGGAAGGAGAGGCGATGCTATTCGATAGCCGGCAGGTCGAAGTTGTGATTTAACACTGGATCGTGGGGGAGAAAAAGAGAAGAAGAGGAGTTCTGGGATAAGGTGAGTGTGGGAGGGCTGAGTTAATAAATCGACCTAAGCAAACGAGGAAGTTGCAAGAAGGCGCATCTCGGGGAACAAGGTTAATGGGTGGATGGAGAAGGGTAGGATCCAATCTGAGGTGGGTGGACTTTGGCCCTGGTGGATAAGGTAGGTACGGAGTACGGATGCTGGTGGGCAGACGGCAGACGGGCAGGCACGAATTGCAGTCTGCTTCTGGGCAGGAACCAACCTACAGGGGGTCCAATCGCTCCTTCCCTTGGATTTTGAAGGTGAAATGGATATTTACACGCCTCACCGCGGCAAGTGCCTCCTCCCATCCTTCCTTTCCTCCTTCCTTCTCTGCAGACTGCAAGTGAGGAAGGAGGAGTCCAGGAACAGAAAAAGCCGTTGAATCATTGGACAAAAGAGGGAAACAGAACAGAATGAACCAATCCGGGCTTGATTTTTATGAAACACTGGCTTGGCTCTCCATGGGGTCGTACCTTGCAGGCTATTGGCAGGGGAGGACCGAGCTAACCTCGATCTCACCTCAGGCCCAGCAACGATACTTTTCTCCCTCCGCTTCGCCCGCGGCTCCCTTCGTACCTCTGTTGGTTAACTTGCTGGTGCCGTGTTGCATTCTGACCACGACCAGCGGCTGCAGCAGCTGAGCAGACTGTTGTCCTGCGCTTACACAGTACTGTGATTCCATCATACGCCGTCCGGAATATGGTGATGTGGGAGCCACCGTAAACGCCAAGGGCCAAGCTAGGCCGTTTCGCTCTTCTCAATGAGGCTTGGAGAGAGACAACCAACCACCGTCCGGCACGCCCAGCTAGACTTCCTCGGCGTTCTGGGCTCTAATTTTGAGGACGAGGCAAATGCAACATTCGAGGACAACAATGCCGCCAGCTTGTGCCCGACAGGGCAACGAGATGGAAGATGTTAACCCAGCAAGTAATAGGGCCAGACCGGTCGCGATAGATCAGCAGAGCAATACGAAGAATACTTCATGCCCCCGGGTTTGCCACGCCTCGAGAACACTTGGATCAGGTGACGACCTCGGCATTGCTGCTCAAGGCTGGGGGATCATTTCGGCTCCCCAGAAACCCGCCGTGCCCGCTCCGTCGTTCTTCAGAAGTTCAGGTCCGCCCAAAGATGATGCTCTGAGCATCTGCAGCTACTACTAATGAACAAGGAACCTACCCTCGCTGGTCAGCAATTGCAACACACTAGAAGGAGCGCTTCAAAGATAGCCTGAGAGGTGCCATTGTAGCGCTCTCGAGCCCGCCTCAATTTGACTTCAGTCAGTTACATCGTCAGGGGTTGTCGCCCCCGCCAAATTTCGGGGGATTTGGGGGTGGCAGTGACAGCGCCGGCGTTGCTGCGTCTGTGTGTGCTGACCTTGAGTCCTTGACAAGGTGACAAGCAAGATCAAGCGCGATTCAAGCTTACCGTGGTGTGCGCCCGGTGTCCTCCAAGGTGTGTCCCCATCTCAAGTCCGACGGGGACCCCTCGCTCGCCATGGGTTCATCCCAACGGCAGTGACATCTGGAATCCTCATATCGCCCCAATCAACACGCCCGTCCGATATCACTCAATCCACAGAGCGGTCCATCTCATCCGATGTTTAATCGCGCAGACAACTCTCAACAACAGGCACCATCCCGACACCACCGTGCCGTCCAACCCATGCCGCGACACCGCGGAAGGACGGGTTGGGCCTCGCCTCCGGTGGTTGTTAGTCTTACTTTTGCGCTTCAACCCGTTCCAACCTCTGGCACCACGAGGATGAAGGCGACGGTCCCTCTGCTCCTTCTCATTAAGACTGAGTGCTACCCGGCTTTGTTGATCCGTTCTAGATCCGCTCTGTGACGGACGGCCTTGCTTGCTCGAGCTGCCTGACACCCTGAGTCGCAACCCCAGTCGCGATGGCCGGCCAGAAAAGCAAAAATTCTTGGACAAAACATGCCGCGGGACGAAAGGAAAATTTCCGAGGCAACAAGAAACAAAAAAGCCTAAACCTGGGAAAACCGCTCATCTGCCTACTCCACCGACCGTCCCTTGCGAGTTGCGACCCGTCGTGCCACATGGCGGTCTCACGGCATTGGTTCTTTCCAGCACCACGTTGACGTCGTTGATCCGCAGGTCTAGCCGTGGGACTCGGTGCAATCTGCTGTGACAAGGCAAAAAGAGGGACAGCCTGACCAGGCCCCTTGTGTCGGTGACGATGCGAGCGAGGTTATCAGAGGGAGAATATCAATGGCCAGGCAAATTGGCAGTAAACAACAAAGCAACCCGAAGCGAAGGCGCCTTTCATAAGCCGGAAACCGTTGATGACTGAAAGTCAAAATCATCGTCAACCGTCCACGACTTTGGCGTTCGCTGTTCCTGCATTAGCGGAAACGCCTACCCGAACCGTTTCCATTGGCTGCCTTGGACTTTTCATCTGCATTTGCGCGCTCTATTCTCGCCGTGGCGAATGCTTATTCGACGACGGCGTTGCATAGTCACTGATGCTGACCATCCACTGCGCTGCTGTGCATTCCAGGCGGCAGGCCGGGCACCATGTTGAATATGCCGGCACATCACCAAAGTTCTATCGTTCTTCGGACGTCGACGAGTCAATTTCTTCGGACCTACAGCAGAAGCCAGAGCTCTCATCTTGCATGCGTCCACGTCCCACGAGACACCTGACTGGCGCAAAAGTTTGAGTCTCTGCAGTGGACCACCGGGTTCTCGAGTAGGTAGTATCCGGACCATCGCCCAGCTCCACGCACACGGCATTTCTGCGGTGTATCCGTACACCCAACCAGCACGTGAGAAACAGCAAAGTTCGTCGTCTCGAGAGATCTTCGCCTCCCGAACGTCTCAACCGTAACTCACCACGTGGAAACGAGAAAGATTCTGCCTATCCCCTCCGTCCGATTGGCATTTGGAGAACTAGTCTTCCCACTTTTAACTCATGGTATTCCACCCCAGATCTGGTCTCGGCACGTGCCTAAGAGCGAGTTAAACTACAACATCGTACCTGAAAATCACTTCTCGAAAAGCGGATTCGGGAATGGTATCCCATTCAGCCCTAAAGAAAAGGTTCGGCGCTTACTCAGTAGACCCTGCTGATACATACCCGCAGAGACGTGGGAAAAGAGGATTTGATCCAATAGTAGACGTTATCATCTTGAGCCTCGTTGGGCCAAGTCGCCAACGGGTCTTTTCTTCCTTCGGGTAAATGCCGTTTGCTACTTGTGACTCACATATCCGATGCAGGTCTGTAAATTCTATCACTTGTGTCCGAAGTTGAGAGATTTTGTGCTTTACTGCGCGATTTCAATCACCGCCTATCGCCACAGCGGAGTTGTGGCAGCGAGAGGGGGGGTGGATTTTGAGAGCCAACTCATGCTTTCTTGACTCGGAGCCGTTAGCTTTGAGACTTTTCATGAATCCTGGTGATACATCGTCTCGTTCCCTATGCTTGCTGGCCATCACATTGGTATCTGAAACTACGAACACATCGGACTACATGGGCATCCCGTAGTACTGCAAGCAAGAGACGCCAAAAATGGATGGAAGTCAAGTTTGTGATTTCTATCAAGCCGAGGGACTACGCAGATGCCTTGGCCTTCTTTCCGCGCCGGGCTCTACCACCTCGACCACCCTGCCCGTTCTCCTCCTCCTCCCCCTCATCATCGACAAACTCATCCTCATCCTCAGCAGCCGCCGTCCTAGACCTAGCTTTCCTTTTCCCCGTAGCTCTAGTCGGCGCCGCCGTGTCAGAAGCAGCAGCGGAAGCTCCGCCCTCCTGCTCCCCATTGGCATTAGCCCTCAACCGACTCACAGCGTTGGCCATCCTCTTGCTCGTCGTGCCCTTCTGCCTCGGCGCAAACGCATCCCTCGCGCCCACGCCGACAGCACCCTCAAAGTACCTCGTGATATTCGTCTGCGTGCCCTCAATGTCGCGCTTATTCATGTCCCGAATCACAGGCACCAGCACCTCATCGGTGCGCTCCTTGCTCCACCCAATCGTCGCCATCAAGAACTGCCGCAGACCCTCGAGGTCCGGAACGCCCCACTGGAAGTGCTCCGGGCTGTCGTCGACTTCTGGTCGGATGTAGGCGTCCGTTACGGCCGGGTTGGGGAACCCCGCCGGCAAGAACAGCTTGGTGCCCTGGGACTTGCGGAACTTGCGACGGAAAGGCGACCCCGCGTCGGCCTCCTTTGGCCGGTTGTTCAGCTGCACGTCCGCCCACCACTCCTTGAACTGGGCGAGACCGTCCTTGCCGGGGAACTCGGAGAGGATCTCCACGGCCGTGACGGGACCGACGCCGGGTAAGCCCTCGGTGTAATCGGAGCCCAGAAGCTGAGCAATGGCGATGAGCTGGTCGCGTGAGAGTGAAAGCTCCTTTTCGAGATCCGAGCCGAGGTAGCACTCGACAAACTTGTTGCTGTTGAACATGTTCTTGTAGATGCGCGTGCCACCAAAGAGGAAGCAATCCGAGTCGTCCGTGACGATGCCATCCACCAGGCCCAGACGCACCAGCTCCGCACACTGCGCTTCCGCCTCCATCGGAGCGGTGATGTAGGGGATACCAAAGAGGCGGAGGAGTGCCTGGCACTCGGTGACCATGACCTGCGTGACCTCATCGGCATCACGGCGGTCCTTCTTCTGCTGCGTGCGCAACGCCTTGAGTTCCTTTTCGTACGCCTCCTTGTTCTCTTGCTCTGACTTGTTGTTCAGCTCGCTGGCAAAGCGGGCATGCTCTTCGGCTTCCTGCGCCAGGTTGGCAAAGAGCTCCTCGTCTTCCGGGTCACTGAACTCGTCGTCGCTGTCGGCGAAGACGGCGGCTTCGGCGTCTTGCACTGGATCACCGGCCGTGTTCGGATCATCAAGCGTGGGCCCGTCCATGAGTTCTTCAAATGTAAGCTCGTGTTCTTCTTCGACGGGCTTGGGCTCTTCTGCGATGATGGTGACATCTTCCATGATTGGGTCCGGAGGGGAGTCGGGACCCTGTGGCTCAGCGACATCTTCCATCTCTAGCTCGGGGGAGTCAGGGACTGCTGTGATAGTGACCTCCATATCTTCGTCGACTTCTTCAGGCTGAATGTCTTCAAATTCGACTTCGGGAGACTCAGATGATTTGCGTGATACATCTGCCTTTTCTTGCAACGCAACCGTCTCGTTTTCCCCCTTCTCGGGCTCGACCTCTGCGTTTGTGACATCGTCGGCGGCATTGGGTTCGTCTAGGAAAGTAATTTCTTCTTGGGAAGCAGCATGCTTCGGAGGTGGAGGGACGTCAAGAATCTCGACATCGTCGTCTTCGTCATCAGAAGACTGGATCTCGATGAGCTGGTTTTGCCGTTGACGCTCAAACCTCCGCTCCTCTTCCTGCGCAGCTTCTCTATCTTCCGTATTGATTTCGCTCTCCACTTGCCGCTGTTGTTTAATCGACTCTCGGATATCTGTATTGTCCACCATCCAGGGAGGTAGAGGCTTGGGGCGGTCTTGTTCTAGCCCTCGTTCAAAGCCGCCTTCGTCGTCCTCGTCGCCAGCAGGCCGCTCTTCAGCGCCCTCAGCCAAGAAGCCACCACCAAATTCGTCATCGCCATCTTTGCGCGCCGGTTCTTGTGAACTTTGTGCCAGCTGCTTTGGGGCCACCGCTTCGGGCTTCTTTGACTGAGCCTTCATAGAGAAGAGAGAAGGGCCCCATGCGAGTTTAGGAAACGGTAGCGGGCCATCGAATGGGTTCTTAACGTTGGGCACTGCAGGCTTGGGTAGTACTCGTTTCTTCTGTCGAGAGGCTTTCAGAGCCGCCTGCAGGTCCATCTCTCCGTCGCTACTGCTGGCACTATTGGCGCGTTTCTTTGGCACTGCGGCATTAGACCTGTTGTTTACGATATGAGCAACCATGCGACCGCTCCTCGCGGCGATCGGCTTGGGTGCCTCCACAGCCTTCTGCTTCCATTCAGGTGCCTCCAACTCCACGTCTTCAAACTGCTCATCCTCCTCAGACTTTTCAGCAGCTTCTCTGTGCTGGCTTTGCAGTGACATGGCAATGGCCCGGTTGATGTCGTCTTCTTCTTCTGGGTGCATTGGCTCATCGCCTCGTTGCCTAGCAACATTTTGGACATGGGCTTCCGGCAAATCACCCTCGACGAAAAGACTTTCCTCCTCCTCTTCGAACAAGTCGTTCACTTCGCTGCTTCCCCGGTTTCCATATAATTGTTGCCTCTGGATAGCTGCTTGCCGGGATGCTTGTGCGGCTGCGCTGGAAGACATCTTGGGCAGCCGGTTCAGACCCTCGACCGGAACATCTTCAAAGTCGTCTTCCTCTTCAGATGCCTCAGCCTTTTCTTTGGGTTGGAACTGAAAGTCCAATGCATCAACATCAATGGGCTTGTGGGCTTCGCCAAGGTCTTTCTCCTTGCTCACGACTCCTAGGGCCCAACCACCTTCTGCGCCGTCGTTCTTGACCAGGATGTACTCCCTGTCCTTTTCACCGGCGATTCTGCCGCCACCGTTCAGAGTGAGATCGAGACCAGTCATGCCGGCTTCCTTCATGAGGCGCTGTGTCAAGTTGTTTCTTTCGCGGACTCTTTCAATCTGAAATCTTGAGAAATCCATGCGATTCGGGAACATCTCGTCAAGCTGCTCCTTGCTCAAGCCCATCCTCAAACGACTACGCAGTCTTGCCGCATTCAGAATGTTGTATCTATCAGCTGCTGGTAAGCTTCGAAAGAACTCGCCATCAAAGTCGATCTTGCTGAAGTCGTAGAGATTGATGTCTTCGCCGTTATGGAACTGTCGGGCGTATTCTTCCAACTCTTCAATGCTCATAATTCTAGGATCATCCGCTTTGGCCATGGATGCAATATCGCCGTCCATCTCGGGCAAGTGATATGCATCCTGCTTGAAAAACTTTCTCGTCTTTTGACGCTCTTGCTGCGACATGCCGACCTCGTCAACGTACACAATCTGTTCCATATCAGGTATAGCCTCCTGCGGTTCCTCTCGCTCTCGCTGGATGCCTCGATCCGCATCGCGCTTCCTCTTATCCTCCTCCTCCTCGGCAATCCGCTGCATCTGCACAGCCAGCAGCTTCCCAGCCGTGCGGACGGCGTCCTCCCTCCGACCCTCACGCCGCTGCTTACGACCCTGGATCGTCTGGCGCTTGAGCACGGGAGCCCCTCCATCAAAGACGAAGACGGGCTTGATGCCGAACCACAGCAGTTTGCAGATGCGGCGGAAGAAGCCGACGACGTGCGAATTGCGCAGGGCATTGCCCTCCTTGTCTCGCACCGCCTTGAGGAATTGGTATATCCAAATGGAAGCATCAACGGCGAGGCGCTTTCGGTTTAGGGTCGCGAGATTCGTCGGGCGCGCGCAGGGCTGCACGACGGTCCAGAGGCCGTTCACACCCATGGCGTCGGCGGGAGGGCAGAGCCAGCACCTTTGATTCGGAGTTCACGGAGGGGTCGGCTTCGGAGGGTGTCTGGTGCTGCGAGAAGTGCTCTCCTCATCTACCGAGTGTATATAGCATTGTAGAAGGTGGGCACTAGGTCCTGATACAGTCAAAATAGCACAGATGTAAGTGTGGTGGTTGTGAAAAGTGAATGAGGTTACGAGTTTGTGAAGAATGAAGGCGGCCGCAGCTGCCTGTAAGCCATTTGACATGGGAGCTTAAGGTCATGACGCGCTTGCCTCCACTAGAGGCGTCTGTATCAATGCTTATCGATTGGGTGCAGATGTAAGCGGCGGGGCACGAACTTCACCCGCTATTAATCGCCGCCAAAGGGGACTGTTCGCACCTGCGCCGTCTATGCGCCATCCTATCCTTGCAGAGAACCTTCACTCTCCCCGACGCCTGGAAAGCAATGTTCAACATTGCCGTCAACCAGTCGCCATGGACAAACAGGAGGGAAGAGATTTCCTGACTTCGCTTCTCAACAAGAACCTGCGCGTCCTGGCTACTGATGGCCGTATGTTCCTTGGCCAATTCAAGTGCACCGATCCGGTAAGTTACCACCCCTCCAATCCTAACCTCCTCCTCCTCTTATGGGCTCCCTTCGTCAAGATCGTTTTGCTAATCAAGCCCAACTTCAAATCTATAGGATCGCAATGTAGTACTGGCTCACACCTACGAATATCGACAGCCATCGGCGCAGCAGCGGGCTGAAGCTGCAAAGAAGGCTACAGAAGGAACCGCTTCGGTCACGATGGACATGACATCCCGGTACCTAGGCTTGGTCGTGGTGCCTGGGCAGTACATTGTGAAGATTGAAGTAGAGGAGTTTGCGAGTCAGATCGGGAGTCGGAATCCATACGCCGACGTTGTCGTATAGGTCTCGAAGGTGATTGATCATTTGCGCGGCTGTATCCGGGGTGGAACGAATTGTGAAGCGCTCACGATTACTGGCGCGGAACATCCGAACTCCATGAAGCATCACGCAGCATGTATGCAGTGTATCGTTTGGGTATGGAATACTGGGCATTAAGAGCTGAAAATAAGGCACTATTTTAAACCATAAAATTCCATCCTATTTCACCGTAGCAAGTCGACCTCGACTAGATTACCGAGGCACCGATTCCAAAACACCTGCACCAAACGCTTTCCTTGGCTTTTGCCAAAACCCGAACATTACTGCCATTACGAGCTATGTGCTCAATGCCGTCCGATATCAACAGCAGGAGGGGTTGACTCAGGTCCAGAGACATGCGATCGTTATCTTATGCGACGACGCTCTCGTGCTGACGGCCTCTCGTCTCGCCGCCGAGACCATCATCGGTACCAACGGCAGAGTGGTGGATGTCGTCCTCCTCCTCGTCCTCGTCGCTGTACTCAGTCTCCTTGTTGTGGGCCCGCGTCCACGACGAGTCGTCATTCAACGGAACATCTTGCCCCGAAAGGTCGTGACCACCCTCAGCACGTGCTCTGATGTTATTTCTGCGGCGCGTTGACAAAGTGCGTGCACGAGTTGACAGCTTGGAAGACACAGCAGCTTGGGATGTGACCCAGTTGGTCAAAGCATCCTCGCAATCCTGGATGATGGCCTTGCTAGCCTCATATCCGTCATAGGCTGCACGAGTCTCTCCGGGAGTGACAGGGGTGTCGTCAATCAGCTCGAGCAGGTGCTTTCCGTAACCGGCGACAATGGCAACCTTCTCGCAATGCTCTCTCAGGGCATCAAATTGGTAGGTGTAGGCAGCCTTGATCTTCTCGCGCGTAATGTTGGACAGCTGAGCCTCTGCGACCAAAGATTCAGCCTCAGCACGCACCAGCTCCTGCTCAAGAACGACAATCTTGGGGGAGTTGGGCTCCTTGTACTTGAGCTGAGCGATCTGGTCGGTGATCTTTTGCTTGCCTAAGGTTCATGTTAGTTGGGCAACGATACCGCATGTGTCTAGCATAGGGTGGAGCTCACGGTCTCGGCTGGGTTGGACGGAAGCTTCAATGTTACGAATGCTCTTGATCGTAACACGATATTGGTCATAACGGTCGACGTATTGGTCCTCGAGTTCGCCGATTTCGTAGAGTAGAACTCCGAGCTTGTCGGTTACATCAGATACATCTTCGTCGCAAGCCTCGCCCCAAATGGAGAGTTGTTGCTAGGGAATTAAGTCAGCAGATGCATGACGGGACGATGGTATCTTCGGACGACTTACAGCAACCTCCATACGCTCTCTCGCTACCTGCTCGAGACTGCGCATGACATTCTTCTCCATTTTAACCAGCTGGGACAGCTTCTTTGCGAGGTCTGGGCCGAAGGCACCGGCTGACTTGTGGCGGAGAGCATGGCCTAGATTGACTTGTTAGCCCATCGCGCTTCCCAAGTTCCAAAGATGGGAAATGGCACGGCGCAAAGGTGGCAAGCGATGGAGAAAAGACTACTTACCGAATCCTCCCTTGAACAGGCGACCAGACTTGGTGGAAGAAGGCGGCGGAGGCGGGTTCTACGAGCATGGTGAGTATCGTACCATATATCGAAGATTGTCATGGAATTAGGCGCATACCTGGATCTGCGAGGCGGTGGGCGCCCTCGACTGGCGCATGGAGTATGTGCGATGCATGATGTCGGAAGTGACGTTGATTGACTGTAGTGGCGGTGGTAAGACGGCGTTGGCGGTACGAAGTCGTTGTAGACAACGGATCTGTGTATCTAGGAAAATGAAGCTTCAATGCAGTGATGCGCTGAGAAGCAGGGTATCGCGGGGTGTGACAAGGGGTATGAGTGGGAAGAGATCAAATGGAAGTCGGGTCATAGGGGCCCTGGGGATGAAGCGAGGCCGGGTGTTTATATGTAGGCGCCGGAAAGGGCCCAGTGGTGTGGTCTACTGCGTAAGGCAAGGGGAGGTTAGGTTGTTGCGGAGGTGACGGGACTTTGAGGTGACGGGACGGACAACACAAGGTGCGCGTACTTCGTAACTAAGGTACGCAGTAAGAGGTAGGTCCCCAGTGGGAGAGGTGACGGTCTGGCGGGGAGAGTATGTGTGCCGTCCCCCCTTGAATGCTCCTCCCCCTCGGTGCCTCTTTCGCGCTGACGACGTCATCTGTGTCTTTAGCTCGACTGTTTGGCGTTGTTCGCAGCGTCACCCAGCTAACCTGGTGCCTGCAGGCCTGCGCGGATACAAGACAAGTGCCCCACATCAAAGGTATTGACGGGGTGCTTTTCCAGCTGCAATCAGCTTGTCATCGTTGTCAAAAGCTACAATCCCCAAAGCTCTGTTCAAAGTCACTCCTCTTTGCGGTCTAGCCCGGCCTACGTTAGCTGAAAAGTGCAGACGAAGACCTGCTAAGTGACCTGACACCGAGCAATCCATGCGTGCGGCCTGCCGTGGTTGGGAGAAAGAAGGACAGGCAGTGCCAGACATATTCCCCATTCGAATTACAAAAAACACAGCCATGATGATCGCCCTCCGGGATGGCGCCGTCTCTACGAACCCTTCGCCCAATGTGGGTTCATGAAACGGATGGCCGGGCTCTAGGGGACCGACTTGGGAAGTTGGGATGAGGAAGACAGCAAGCTTTCGACGCAAGCTGCAAGAAAGGACCCATCAACCCATGCCTATCTGTTCCCATTACCAGGCCAGCTGCAGGTCCCGACGGGGGTTGGACTATTGAACTGAGCAGCACGCAGGTGGGCTGGGATGGATCATGGGTTGGTCCGTCTTAGCTCTTTTAACCTTTTGACTGCCATCTGGGCATTCGTGCGGTTAAGGTATGAGGGACCATCAACTCTCAATTCCCATCACTACCCAAAGTCCTGCTTCAATGCCCAAGTAAGTACGCAAGTTCGTTTTTGCCCATCCTCAAGGCCGTCGAACTCATGGACAAGAACTACCTTACATCATAAGCAAAGACATTCCTCAAGATAGGACAAGCTCGCCCTCAAAACTCTCCATTTCGCCAGTGGACACATCAAATCAAATTGTCGTCCAAGGTTTATGATGCTAGCGCCGCATGCCGTCCGCTTCGGCACGGCCTGCTCCAGGCATTTGGAGGCTAGGCCGACTGTGCTTGGCCGTGTAATGTGCGATGATTTCATCGATTCCTCTTTGACTGCGCGAACCATTCCTTAGCGCCGCCTTCTCCCGTTGGTCCGTTCTTCCAATCTCCAAACACACCTCTTCTGCTTCAGCAGCATCATGGCCGGATTAATCCTATCCGGTTGCCAGGGGTTTTTACACTACAATACCTCCACTAGCTAGCTATCTTATGGATAAGGTACTCCAGTCTTATCCATGATTGCCGGTAGCATGACTCAGCATCAATCATCGTCTCCCGTACCTTCCATTGTTAAATACTATCTTATCTAGGGTAGCAAGCACAAGATCCCAATTCACTACCGACGAGATATCGACATTGCACTTACCAAGAACATATTCAAAGGCTGAGTTCTTGCGTCGCCATGAAAGTAATAACCTCATTGGATTCGGTCAAAAAGCAAAAAACCCAGTACCTGATCCAACAGCATACCATGATGTGATTAACTTATCACTATCAGCTGTCGCAAGCTTCAATAACGGAGAGTTGCCCAGCGGTATGCATAGAGAAAGGAACAAATTCAAAAAATTGGCCATTTCTTCATTCAAGGTCCCCATTGATTTCGCTCTTCGAATGTCAAGTTCTCCTATCTTCTTATGAGGAAGTCGAAACGAGTTGGAATATTGTTATTCGAACTGTACAGTGTACTTGACTAAAGATATAAATGAAGGGTTGCGTGAAGAGAGGATATCAAATTTGTCTGTCAATCGCGTGCTTGCCAGGGTTGACGTCTTTGAGTGTTGAACTCCGCAATGCAAGTCCGGGCTATTTACCTGTCAAGGTCTCAGCTATGCAACTTGCCCTCTCGCAATTTTGCACTAGTGGTCTTGAATTGATTGAGTCGACTTGCGACAATTAGAGGAATTATTCTTTGTATGTCTACTAATGTGTGAAATGAGCTGGTCAAGTGCATTGCCTGCGGTACCTCGTAGAGACAAGGCTGTTATAGAAGTGTACTTACTATCTGCGCGGTAATAACGTTCTGCCTCTCTTTGCGAGACACTCAACCAAGGTGGAAATTGACACGCAGACGTTAGAGTCCTGTGCACGGTTCCCCTCTGTGTTGAACCCGAAACTCAACAAGTTAGCTCAAGGAGTCAAGATATAACAGTTGGAACAGATAATTGACATCCCCGATTAGTATCGTGGTAGGTAGTGTGATTAAGCAAGTTGCCGAGGTACTCAGGTAACTTCAACGCTTGAAGACAATAGTCCCTTAGTTATCCAGCTTGGTAAGTACCTGCTTGAGACGTGGTCACAATCATAGCATGTTCCGCCGCAACACATCGAATTAGGAACTGAAACTTGGTGAGTCTCTAAGAAAAAGATTTGGGAAAGAGACAATCTCCATTGGCATCTCTTACCCGACAGTCAAAGTCTTTAGAGATTGTTGCGACAGGCCGCAACGCACGGAAAAAGAAGGAGCCAGACAATATCTGAGCCGGGATTGCAAATAGCTTGAGGCGCAATCCCTGCTCCCCGCCCCAGTTTCGGCCTAGTGCCTTGCAATCTCTCCCTCCAACTCTTTCCTTTCATGAACGCGCTTAGCCTCGCAGTTCACCAACGCGTCTCACAATATCTCATCTTCTCTCATCATCAACCTCATCTCACAAAGTCCACTTTCGTGATCTTCGTGGACCGCCACTCCCTTTTTTTTATCGCCATCAACCCTCAACTTTTTTTAATTTGACTTGACTTCACCAGCGGCTCATTATTGTGACGGCCTAGCATGGTATTTCCATAGTCAATGTTTACAGGCTTTGCTTACGCTGACAACGGGGAAAGAGGGCATGGTGAGCGACCGTGTCTTTGTCTGTGTTCGCGCACGCAAGTGAGGAGGACGTAGCAGAGGCCATCAGAGACGGGGAAAGAAGGCGCCGCCACCGTCGCTTTCTTTGCGCCCCTGCCTTAATCACTTGAAGTGTCCTTCGACATGTCCCCCTTCCGCGCT